TGATTGAGGACAGTCCGCTGTGTGGAAGGTTCCTGAAGTCATTGTATATCGTTAGGGTTTGAAATAACATTCGCAATAAGTTATTTTCCTGATTAATACCAAGTTGCTTTACTCTCCATTGGATAATGAGGTTTGTTTTGGAGTTATACACTACAGCAGTGTACACATTTATTTCCGTATACACCGCATGACCCCAAATTAATCCTGGTTATATCCTTATATTTAAATTTTATAAAAGACAAATAACACCTTAAAGTTTGTGTTAGATGAAGATTTAATTCTTTCTCATAAAACAAAATTTATTTCACACAAAACACAACCTTGCGCTTTAATTTTTATCGGGAGCAACTTCAACCAATCAAAATTTAGCATTTCAAAAGACAAATAATCCAAGCTCCCACAAAAAACATTTAGGTGTTTTAAATAACTTTCCTTCTAATTTTTATGCGGCTTTATGTTATATGAAGAATCTATTAGGATCACCATCAAGACACGATGAATATATAGTTAAATTGCAGACACTAAAAAGCATAAGTCGGAAATCTCAAACGTAAAATTATTATCGCGCTGATCAAAGCCTCCCCAGTACATTAAAAAGCCCTAGCTAGGTGATTACTTTGTTATCATATCTATATCCAGGTAATGCCGATAATCAGTCAATCATAAAAGGTTCCTCTAGAAACAATAATAAAACTGTTCTATTTATACTAGCAGTGAACTTGTCCTTGGAGCGAGCGCTAAGAATACGACCTTCTCTTGAATTTCCAAATTCTTGATACCGCCGACAAGTGTAATGCAACCATTCGCAGCAATAATGCTTATTTAGTCGAACAGAAGGCCACCACATTACATTTAAAAAATATATAGTAACAATGACTGTTGAGGGGTCGGACCGAAACATGGGCGCGGTTAAGATAGTCAAATATTCAAATTCCAAGTTTGGTAAGGTTATGACCATTTATAAGGCTTAAATAGTGAAGACTAAATATCATATCTATATCAACGGTGCATTTGACTTTATTGTTAATCTAAATCACTAGACGACAGCTCCGTGAACCGACAAACGAAACGAAACCGTGAAACTTCTCGCTACTTCTCAACACGGGCAAACTATATGAATTGTACTGTCAATGCATATCTAATGTATTATTAATATTATCATGCAAATATATAATGACATATATAGATATGGAACTTGATATAAATGTGAGCATTTGATGAAATGCGTGGTATGTCGCTATTCCTATGGCAAAGTGTTACATTGTAAGTAGATATAGTCAATCATTAGATATTCTAGTGACAACAAATTAGTAAAGATCATCTTCAAGTTGCGGAGTTCGTTTTTCATATAAGCATTGGGATTTTAAAATCTATTAAAAAACGCCGAAACTAAGCGCAGCCCTGAATTGTTGTATTCAATGAAACGCTGAAGTGTTGTATTCAACGAAACGCTGAATTGTTGTATTCAATGAAACGCTGAAGTGTTGTATTCAACGAAACGCTGAATTGTTGTACTCAACGAAACGCTTTATTGGAAATGTATCTTATTATTCCAATTTGCTATTAATGATATGAACGTAAGAACAAAAGCAACTCCGGATAACAATTATGAATTGAAACTTTCAATGATTAACAGAGTGTACGTGCGCTCTTTATGTTATTGACATGTTATAGAACGATGCGATTCAAAAACTGATATGTACAACATACAATAACTTTTATAGAAACAAAGGGATTTCTGAATTATGTTGAGTCTAAACTCCAAATACTTTTACAGTGTACATGTTTGCTTTGCAAATGTTCCCTTGGTGACTATTTAAAGTGGTCGTGCTATTGAAATTTGCAACAATTCTGAAATATATTTATTCCATTTAACAAGAATATGAAAAATCTTTAAATTTTATTCGCGTGTTGAATATTTTCGCGCTTATTAACACAATGCGAAAAAACCTAAGTATTTATGAATCACGTAGTTTCCTCTTTTAAAGTACATGTACTACAAAAAGTCAAATGAATCTAACCAACCAAATCTCAAAGTTATCACACAGCTGTAAACATTAATAAATCCGGGTCTGTATACGACTGGATCCAGAGGAACGTCCGAAGCTCGGATAAGCTCTGCTATGCTCCCAATAGGTGTTTCGCCTGTAGTAATTATCCTCAACCTCCCTTGCATCTGAATATTTCTTCATCCTTTTTGCCGCGGCACTGAAACAAAATTTGTCTAGAAATCGATTATCGATTTATAAGTGTTCTATTATTAAAAAGACCCTTTTGGTGACGTTTATTTTGATGAATTTTATTGCGTTATGGCTCGCACTGATGCATCTCATGACCTGGTATCAATCTTTAACCAGAGCTTGCACTTATTAATTGGTTGAAATCGTGCTACTATACCCCCAAAGTTCCTATTACATGTATATAACATTTCATGAACTTGCAGAAGAGTTGAAGAATCTACGGCCGGAAACGAATTTTGTTTGATGCTCATTGGAATAAATATCAAATTGGTCACTCTAACCTTTTGATATTGCATGATCTACCTTCACCTAAAGAATAAAATTTGATGAAGTTTACTCAACCAGCAACATGAAAATACTAGGACACTATAACCAGAATACAAGTTTCAAAGACGTAAGTAATCAGGGACACACATAATAAATGCTTTATACTATCCTCTTTTTTTCAAACAAACGAACATCTGGTTTAAGATCGAAACGCTAAAGCCAAATCAAAACTCGATTTCCATACAAAACAAGAGGCACAGATAGCCTGTATCGCTCACCTGAACATGTTTAAAATAATTGGTATAAAGTAAAGATATAGCACGCCATGGTAGGTGCTGTATTTCAGAAAGATCCATCCAGTACATGAGATATAGCGAGAAAAAACTTCAGAAAGAGCCCCACCCCTATGCCCCTAGCATACTCGCTCTTTATACAAATTGAGTCCCTTTTGCCCAAGGATGCTCCAGATCAAAATGGGAAGAAACCCCTTCATCCCTATGGTAGAAGAAGGATTTTAAAGGTTTACCTCTATTTCCCCTATTGGGCCCCGCCCCAGGTCCCAGGGGGCCACATCCACCGTTTATATAAAATTGGTTTCCCTTTACCATAGAATGCTCCACACCAAATATGGACCAAATCCTTTCATTCCTACAGAAGTATTAGGATTTTAAAGAATAATTTGCTATGTTTCCCCTATTGGGCCCCGCCCCTCAGCCCCCTGCGGGGCCAGACCCACCATTTATACAAAATTGGTTCCCCCTAACCACAGGATCCTTCAGACCAAATACGGAACAAATCCTTCCTTTCCTACAGAAAAAGAAGGATTTTAAAGAATTAAAATTGGTTACCCTTTACGCAAGGATGCTCCACACCAAATATGGACCAAATCCTTTCATTCCTACAGAAGAAGACGGATTTTAAAGAATACTTTGCTATGTTTCCCCTACTGGACCCCGCCACTCAGTCCGCTGGGGGACCAGACCCACGGTTTATAAAAAAAAATGGTTCCCCTTCACCACAGGATGCTTCAGGCCAAATATGGAACAAATCCTTTCATTCCTTCTGAAGAAGAGGGATTTTAAAGAATTTGTTATATTTCCCCTATTGGGCCCCGCCCCTCAGCCCTCAGGGGGCCTGACCCACCGTTTATACAAAATTGGTTCCCCTTTACCCAAGAATGCTTCAGACCAACTATGGACCAAATCATTTCATTCCTACAGAATAAGAAGGATTTTAAAGAATTTGCTATGTTGCCCCTATTGGGCCCCGTTCCTCAGATCCCAGGGGGGCCACACCCACCGTTTATATAAATTGGTTCCCCTTCATCCAAGGATGCTTCAGACTAAATATAGAACAAATCCTTTCATTCCTACAGAAGAAGAAGGATTTTAAAGAATTTGCTATATTTCCCCTATTGGGCCCCGCCACTCAAGCCCCTGGGGGGCCAGACCCACGGTTTATATAATATTGGTTCCCCTTTACCCAAGAATGCTTCAGACCAAATATGGACCAAATCCTTTCATTCCTACAGAATAAGAAGGATTTTAAAGAATTTGTTATATTTCCCCTTTTGGGCCTCGCTCCTCAGCCCCCAGGGGGCCATACCCACGGTTTATACAAAATTGGTTCCCCTTCACCAACAAATTCTTCAGACCAAATATGGACCAAATCCTTTCATTCCTACAGAATAAAGAATTTGCTATGTTTCCCCTATTGGGCCCCGCTCCCCAGGCACCTGGGGGCCAGACCCACTGTTTCAGACCAAATTTGGACCAAATATGGACCAAATCTTCTTATTCTTACTGAGGAGAAGGATTTTAAAGAATTTGCTATATTTCCCCTATTGTTCCCCTCCCCCCAAGGATGCTTCTGGCCAAATTTGGTCAAAATCTGCTCAGTCGTTCATGACTAGTACCGCCTTTTAGGAAAAGTTGATGGACGGACGGACGACGGACGACGGACGCTGCGGTATGGCATAAGCTCAACATGGTCCTTCGGACCATGTGAGCTAAAAAAAGATAAAACAAAATAAAAGCAAGATGATTTATGTTGTTAAAATAGCCGAAACTCATTTTTGCTTCTATTCTTCTACTACTAGAAATATTAATTAGGATATCAATATTAAAATGATTTGTAATAAACAGACTCCACCAAGCAAGTATCCCATATTTCACGTTTTGTTCTTTGAGTTCATTCATGTGTGTTGTACATATACGTACGATTTCTTGTAAGTTAGGACGATTTTGGTCAGCATCAACACCACGGCAATACCCGCTAGTCCAGCGATAACCGCACTGACTATTAATCCAGTGTTCCAATTACCTTCAAAGGACATGCATATAAAACAAACATATTTAATTGTTTTTCAGAGCACGTGTATCACTTCAATGTAGAATATATTTGCGTTTCACGCTTTGTTGCGTACGTACTTAACATTATGCCTTATGATCATAAAATCTTACCAATGAACGGATGGAAGTAAAATTAGATCAAAGTACTGATTTAAAGCGTAACATTACTTATTTCAAAATATTGTAGCTAGTCTTTATACAATGCAGCAATCAAAGAGTTAAATGTCTATTTCATATCAAAACAGAACCAGTCTGAAAATAGTGTGGTAATTTGTTTGTTTGGGGTTTAACGTCCTCACCATGGCCATTTGAGGGCGGGTGCATAGGGATAAAAAAGGTTGATAGGAAAGATAGGAACAGCAAGCATATGGGTACAGATATATTGTTATGGGGTGTTTACTTCAATTCAAATACTAATTTCAGATAAGTGTGGTGAACATTTTGAGAGCTATCAAAGACTGAGGTAACTTCAAACATTATTTCGAATATATACACCAGCAGCCTAAATGCATTGATTGCGTTCACATTTGTGAGGTTGAATAAAAAAAAAAAAAATTACCACATTGATAACACATAAGGACAAAATCAAAATTTACATTCGATACAAGTTGTACCATTGTCATAATTCGAGAATAAAAGTCAAGCTTGAAATCAATGTATACACAGTGTATCATATTTTCGAGTAACAAGAAACAAGGACAGAGTCAAAACTCAAATTAAACAGAAGATGAACAATACTGTCAAGGTGAAACGATAAATGTAAGACAATGTCAACATACAAGGACAGAGGAGTCCAAACTCATATGAGATGCAAAATGTACAATATTGTTAACATATAAGGACAAAATCAAAACTTAAAAGTTGAAAAGGTATTAAGCACATTGTGTACAAAAAAAATATTCCACACTCAAAATCCGTGCGAAATACAACAAAATAAACTAAGGAAAACTTTTTGAGAAAAACATAATAGATGCCAATTTAAAAAAATGGATAGGAAATCTATCCGTTTGTCTCACCGACTATTACACAGGTCATGGCCACTCCCTTAAAATCAATGAAAATAATGCCGGTCATCTTGGGTCTATGACATTGTAAGTAAATGTTAATTCATGATGTTCGATACTTATATCAATTGTGTTAATAAAACAAAGGCTTATGAAGTTCCAAGCAGAAGGCTTGAACTGTTTGATTATAAGTGCGGGTGTGAGAAGTTTATGTTTTGCTTACCATAATGCCTATCCGGGTCGTTACCAAGGGAGTCAATTTCTAAGGACTTAAAGTTGTAGGTCTTGGGTCTGAATCCTTTATATTCAAATATACGTCTGACGAGATCCTAATATAAAGAGGTTATGACCGCTACAGAGGACGCTTGCCTCAGACATGACTTTAACGAATTAAGAAATATGTCGTGAAAATATATTTTTGTAACGTTTAAACCAACATTTGCTATATTAATCATTGCAAGCAAGGTTTATAACATACCTCCGCCAGTAGGAGATGTTGTTGACTCAGTAGTTGTTGTAGGCTCAGTTGTGGTGGTTGTAGTCGGCTCAGTTGTGGTGGTTGTAGTCGGCTCAGGTGTGGTGGTTGTAGTCGGCACAGTTGTGGTTGATATTGGCACAGTTGTGGTTGTAGTCGGCTCAATTGTGGTTGTTGGGGGCTCCGTTGTGGTTGTAGTCGGCTCAGTTGTGGTTGTAGTCGGCTCAGTTGTGGGTGTAGTCGGGTCAGTTGTGGTGGTTGTAGGCGGCGTAGTTGTGGTTGTGGTGGTTGTAATAGGCTCAGTTGTGGTTGTAGACGGCTCAGTTGTGGTTGTAGACGGCTCAGTTGTGGTTGTAGGTGGCTGAATTGTGGTTGTTGGGGGCTCAGTTGTGGTGGTTGGTGTCGGCTCAGGTGTGGTGGTTGTTGTTGGCTCAGTTGTGGTTGTTGGCGGCTCAGTTGTGGTGGTTGGTGTCGGCTCAGGTGTGGTGGGTGTAGTCGGCTCAGTTGTGGTTTTTGTAGGCGGCGTAGTTGTTGTTGTTGGGGGCTCAGTTGTGGTGGTTGTTGGCGGCTCAGTTGTGGTGGTTGGTGTCGGCTCAGGTGTGGTGGTTGTAGTCGGCCCAGTTGTGGTTGTGGTGGATGTAGTCGGCTTAGTTGTGGTTGTGGTGGTTGTAGTCGGCTGAGTTGTGGTTGTTGGGGGCTCAGTTGTGGTTGGAGTCGGCTCAGTTGTGGTGGTTGTAGTCGGCTCAGTTGTGGTTGTTGGGGGCTCAGTTGTGGTTGTAGTCGGCTCAGTTGTGGTTGTAGTAGGTACTGTTGTGGTTGTAGTCGGCTCAGTTGTGGTTGTGGTTGGCACAGTTGTGGTTGTAGTTGGCTCAGTTGTGGTTGTTGGGGGCTCAGTTGTGGTTGTACTCGGCTCAGTTGTGGTTGTAGTAGGTACTGGTGTGGTTGTAGTCGGCTCAGTTGTGGTTGTAGTCGGCTTAGTTGTGGTTGTAGTAGGCTCAGTTGTGGTTGTAGTAGGCTCAGTTGTGTTTGTAGTAGGCACTGTTGTGGTTGTAGTCGGCTCAGTTGTGGTTTCCGTTGGTGTTGTGGCATTTGTTGAAGGCAACGTAGTAAATGATGTTGGTAAGGGCGTCGTTGTAATACAAGAAGTCTGAAAACGATAATGAGTTGAACTTAAAAGTATCATATAACTTTTTCAGGCACATGCATTCATTCTACATCAATTTGACCTATATTTACAGAAAATAATATATTTGTTTATCTATTTATTTTGATATGACTAGAGAACAGTTCAGGAGTAAGACGAACTTTCAATGATGTTAATACAAAGCACATATTCCCTAACGTAGAAGTTATCGATGGAATTATTAAATAGATGTTCATGTTTAAATAGGCAGAGATTCCTGTAAACATTACTGAATTCAGATCGGATGACAGCTGAAATGCCATTTTTTCCATCTATAATAAGTGAATATTCTATTTCTGACGATTGGGAAAAATGTATCACTAAAGATTGCAACTTGCTAATGTATTAAAAATTGGAGCATTCGTGGTGTAATCAAAATGAAATGAAATACAAAATTAGAAATACCAATTCATCGTTAATCCAATTGTTTCTCGAATTATTTCTTCTACAAATCAAATGTTCTTTGCCGTGACCCAAAAGTTTTTTTTTATATTTTAAAATATGTGCTTTGTCAAACCGTCAAATATATAAGAAAACGATTCCATACAAAATACCTCAAACTAAATAAAATACTACTCACGAATTCGACGCACGAGATAGTCGTTGTATTACAATTCTGACACCAGGAGTCGAAAATAATGACGACTATATCAGCACTGAACGCGACTCCATCATTAGACACACTCAGAAAAAATCCCTCTGCCACTACAGGTTCTGTGGAACGCTTTGTCCTGTCCTGGTAGTCATCCTGGTCTGTAGAACGCTTTCTCCTCCTCAATGTGTCGCTGAGTGTACAAGTACAACCAAACCCGCCCCCTATGGACTTGGCTGGGAATGTATCATTGGCTGAAGTCAAATTGTAACCGCTGTCTTTGATCTAATCTCAAATATACGAAACAAAACAGTAAAAGCCTATGACGTCTTCATTATCATCACATAGAAGAGAAAAGATAATTCCTTATTGTAAAAATTGACCCTGCCGCAGATATATAAATAATTAAATTATACCCAGTACAGCTACGACGGGTACTCAATATCGTAACTGCTGGATGGACAAATATACTTGTGTATTTAATACATTGCGCTCATATTTTCGGATGAAGCACAAATTTAACTTACGAAGGAAAACAATTTTAACTCGTGAATTATCCGCGCCTCAAACTTATGATATGCAGCACGAACCCGCCTGACCTAACTATCTATTATACAGTAATATTAATGCATGAAGGTGGGAAAATGGAGTTCAGAATAATATCTTGAATTCTGTAGGACTAATATGCTGAAGATTGATCTGGAAATACTTGCTTTTCAATGATAAATCGTTATCAACATATCTTGATATGAAATGTTATTATCAGATACGAAGGGTAACCCTTTTCTTGTAAACCATTGCAGAAATTCGGCTCCACAACTCAAAACACAATCCCAGAAGAAAAAAGTGTTTCCTTTGTTATTCCCAACTGGTATATCGGTACTCTGTTGATGTATTCGTCCTCAAAAAAATCAACAATTTTGTCGATTTACACATTTTCTTTGTGGATACTATTCTCTCTGAAACTAAACTACTAGCAATGTGATGTATCACGAATTATTTGTATTTGCATTGATGACAAGATATTTGCGTTGACGATTGCCAGTTCAATAACTAGACTGATCCAACTGTATCGATGAGTTGTGTTAATCTGATAATATGTAAATGTTAATCTCACAAAGTAATTTTGTTGAAACCCAATAGATTCAGGGAACCGCTTACTGTGTAGATATAAGCATATGAAACAGAGGAACAAATTGAGCTGATGATAACATTTTGATCCAAATTTGACACAAGAAGGAATAATCTGTCTGATACGCTATCCATATAGTTAAAAATTACATTGATTACTCTTATATACAAATATATTACTGACACTCTTTTGTCTTCTTTCGCAGTAAATCAAGGTTTAAAGAAGACAAAATAGCATTAATAAATTGTATGCCTTATTAATGACGTGATTAAATCATAAGATTAACCTTTGATTTATTCCCCGGCTATCAAATTACCTCGTTCTGACGTTTTTAACCTAGTTCTGTCGTTTTAATTCTTATAGTTGCTATCAGATAGATGTTGAGAGCACGGGTGCATAACTATCAAACAGAGGCTCATCCAGTATGCAAAGATATTCTAACGTAAAACTGCATCTCTGAGACATAACATTCGTCAATATTTGTGAGTTTATTGTGAAACAAATATATGAGTATATATATATCTCACCGTAAAATGGACCGCCCTGCACGTCATATTGTCTCGTGCAAAGTTTGATCCTGAGATATGGAAGGTGTTACAAGCATACACATCCCGTTTGCACAATCCTGGATTTGTCCTTGACGACACAACGGGAGGCAATGTCGGTTTGTTGGAACAATCACCTCCCTCATAGTCACCAAAACACTGACATTTTCCTGGTATAAAGCAAATAGGCAATAAGATAATTGAACCACAACACTGCCAACGTCACTGTGCATGCCGTCGTGACGTAGCCGGAAACGAGAAGCAGAGGAATATTTAATATCAATGTAGCAATTATTATAAGAATTAGGATATCATTATTTTAAAGGGCGGCTCAACATTTAGGGTAAATTAGTTCATTTGGTCGGTTGATTTTCAGCGAGTTATCGCCAAAAAGCACATGGGTTATTCTGAATTTAGTCAAAAGAAGATAAACACACATATTTAATGAATATACAAGGTACACATAGCTAACATAGATCAGTATGTGTTCATATACAAGACTGACCTTGTTGACATATTCCGTTTCCAGAACAGTTATTGCTACAGTCGAGATCCAACAGAACGTCCAACACTGTCTGGCCTGCTGTACCATCAGCCGCTGTTGTCTGAGTGAGGTTTTCTAGCTTAAGTGCTGTCATTCGACAACCTCTGGCCAGATTATCAACTGTAGACTGCATAAACTCAGTATTTCCCATTAGCTGGAACAGTTAAAATAACCGATAAATATTCTGTAAGTATGCGCAGTTCAGTTTATTATACATCTGTTTAACACATATCTCATCCATGTATGAATAATTTGTTTTCCTCTTTGACTACATACTGCGGATGTACATCTTTTAAGTTCAAAGCCTAGAAGCTAAGTTTTGCAATGTTTTGATTCCTAAAATGTTGTTTCTTTTAAACTGTTGTTCTTGTCGAATATTATTGTGAATATGAAATTCATCATTTCTAAAGATCCAATACATTTAAACTAGAAAGCCGACAAGGAAAGAAAATTCCTCGAGCAATATTGTTACATAAAATAGTTTTATAATGAAGGGCTGTGTTTGTGGAAAGCATTCCATTGCATTTTAAATAAGAAGCTTTTCGCTATATGTAAGTTTTCATAAAACTCTGTTATAGTAGTATCGACCATGACATTTGACAAACAATATTATAATTGAATATGACTCTCTTTTCCTCTATAGAAAACCTTAGCTGAATAGAATCATCTGTTCTTGGAAACGTTCTACTTTTAAGTAAGATCGACCTTGATCTTTGATGGATCATGCAAAAACAATAGATATTTGCCTCTTCCCTTGGCCAAACTACAAAGTTTGTATTCTAGTGTTAAAATACAGTGTTCCTTGATACTTACGGGTCTAAGTTTGTACGTTAAGTGTTTCTTTGATCTATGATGAAGGGATAAATGCGAAGTAGCCATAACAATAACAACTTAGATCTAACATTGTGAAAAAGAGTGCACCATGATTTATAATATTAAGATAGCAACAATGGTGTTCATTGTTACCTTGATATCGCTGACACAGGATTGAACACCTTCTTCATTGTCATTGGCTGTTGCCTCTAACACCTCTTCACACTTTTTTAAAAAGTTCTGATTCTGAACAAATGTTTTGCAAGCTTCATCAGCCAAAGATTCATTCCACCCATTTCTCCACGTCGGAGGCTACAATAAAAAACAGCATAATTTCAAAATTGCATTTCTACAAATTTGCAATGTATATTATTATTAATAAACTAAAACGTTTTAGTTAGATACATTAGTTTGGTAATTCTATGATATAAAACATTATTTTTTAACAATGTAATAATTGTGTTGGTACTTAAAAAGCTTCATATTTGCAAAACTTTCACTAAAGTGAGAAAATTACTATTGACAATAGAAAACGTGGTACAAATGTACTTAATTTGCAGAGTAGTCTTTTTATGAACAGCAAAAATTCAGCACAGTGTCCCCAACTATAGTGTGTGTAAGAGGTACACCATGTGACAAATAGTCAGAGTGAAAGGCGATGACGGTGTAGTTTTGTTCAATCAGACGCTTGATCTCTTGTAATTCAAGAGTCTGGTCAAACACAGTACTTTAAAATTACCATCACCAGAGGGCAGTGTTTTTACTTTCGTTTCCGAACGTTATATTAACGCCATTATAACATTTCAAAGAATAATGAAATAAATGAAGAAAAAAACTTACCTGTACATGCATTCCTGAAGTACTCATGTATTCACTATTATCGAGAAAAATGTCGTGAACAATGAAAATACATGAAATCATTCTTGAGATTTGAAGAATTTCTTAAATTTTTCTTGATAATAATGAAAACACGGATACTTCAGGAACAAATGTACAGGTAAGTCTTTTTCATGAATTAAAATATTCAATGTAATTTTGCGCCACTCAAATTCTGACTTCAAAAGTTGAAAAGGGTGTGTCTACCTTTGAACAATGAAAACATTTACCAGAATTCTGGTAAGCCTCGTTATGACTTCACAAAACGATAGCACTGAGTTTGACTAGACTCTCTGTTCGGCGTAGTTGGGGCAAACAACAAGAGTCTGGTTGAACGAGACTAATGGCGGTGCAACAGAATTGCCAGAATCCCAATGAGATCGCAGGTGACACTTATGAAGGCACAAGTACACCAAAACGACAAAACTGAAAATATTACACGTACATGTATCCAATTTTCAGGATTGGAATATACGACAATTGTAGAAAATACAGAGGTTGTGACCATCAACACAGTCATATATGACCAAGAAGTAAACTCAACCTGGAAATTCTTAGCCTGCAAAACTGTAATAAGTATTAATCGAAGGTTGTGCTGTTTTGTATGCTCTATTAGTGGACGAATTGTTTTCAATAAAACTGAAAACTTTGTCTTTTTCGTGATACGTTGCTAACAAAATGTATTCGGTCATAATTTGACAACGCTACCAAACTGATATTATGCCCAGGAAACTTTTAGCAGTCTGTAAATATATTTCTTTCATCGTAATATAGCACCATATATTAATCGGACAGGGATTCATTATGAGGAAACCTTACATAGATATTTAGATACACGTATAATCAACATATACTACAGAAAATATCGTCGTAGACATGTTACGTTTATATCTCGAGAAACATATTTCATGGTATGCATTACTGTCATTCTTGAACAGCAAATGGAAGTGTTTATTTCTTCTTACCACAGGTGCGTTATCAGCATCAGATGTAAAAACGATTTTGAATTTCGACGGGCTGTCTTGCTCGCTGAAAGATCGTCTATATCTGTGATGTGAAGTTGAACGCTTTCTTCTGGATGGTTCATCACAGGTTTTAAAAAAACTATCAGTATCCGTATATGAGCACAACACCGTTTCTGTTTTGATTGAGCATTCTATCGTATTGTTGAAATCTGAATATGAAGTTGACTTCGATCTACATTTACAATATCGCGGCAATGTTAGGCTTGCATCTGACAAATTGATATCACCAAATAAACTCTCGCTGTTTTGAGTTATCCTGAAACATAACACAAATTGTACTAATAATATTATAACAAAAATAAGAAATAGGTACATTAAATTGGATTTCACAAAAAAAAAATAAAAAAATCTCATCAACAAAGAGGATAAAGCATTTGTTTATATACACTCTCTAACATAACACTAATCTGAAACAAATATGGTTGATACCATACATTTGTTCAAACCTTATCATACAACGTTTACTATATGAATGTTGTTCCTTACTGTTTTAATATGCGACAGGTGATTTTAAAACTCATCAAATAAAATTTAGAATCAACTTTTTCCCTTTGCGAAACGTGGTCATTGATCTCTTGTTGGTAACAGGCGAACACAAGCTGTTAACATACTCCTTGATTTTAGCCTTGATAATCTGAAACTAACAACGATCTTCCATCGATAAAACATATTCATTATTATAAGACAATAATTCATAATTAGTATCGCATTATGATTAAACGATATAACAAAGACTGTATTGTACGACATCATACTAACATCCAATCAAGTGCAAATGTTTCCTCGTTGTTTGCCGTCCCTCCATTTTTAGTTCTAAAGTCGTTGTTTTGGTTACCATCCAAATATCCACACAATCCCGATGACGTTTTCCAATCAGCAAGAGATGGCTTGATAGATATACCGTTAATATTTACTCTATCGTTCCACGATGAATAGTAGTGACTAAACGAAATCTGTGTTCCCGTAGGAAGTGTAATCTAAAAATAAAACAAACCTATATTTTAATTTCTGAAGGGATAAATTACAATCTTGAATCATCAAAATTCTGTTTCGGAACATTTTATATAGCATATTGATTTGCCTTAATTTTCACCTTTTGACGCTGGTGTTAACATTTCATTTAAATTTAATGATTGGAAACTAATTTCAAAACAATTGCTAGGTTGTTTAGTTAAAGTTAAAGATGAAATTGTTTTTCTGAAAATGAAAGTTCTTGTAGAATATAAATCCAATAAAACGATATTTTCATTTGTTATTTTTTTCTCGCCATTTCTGTCTTCCTACCTAACCACCGCTATACCAATTGAAATGAAAACAATCAGCTATTGATAATGACAATTGATCCATAAACAAGCAAATATGATATGTTCTTCTAAAGCATACTGTTCAAACTGTAAAAATATGTAATCTACAACACCTATTGCATTGAAATAGAAATGCTTTCTTTAGTGGCATTTTAAGACAAACAGTACACTAATACAAAACAATGTTGCCTAACTGCTTACCGTATAACTGTTACCGTTCTTTTTAATTATCATGTTGGTGTCATCACAGAATGTCTTCTCTACATATCGATTTGATTGTGTCCCACTGGTAAACCAGCCAATTTCTGCATCGCAAAAGTTGGCGACGAATACAGCATCATTATTTCTGACTGCCACTCCGCAGTTGCATGTGGGTCCAATATGGTTTAACCGACATGTCTGATACATCGCGTGGACCTATAAGGAAAGCGAAGCTTTTACAGTAGTGGTAGGACTATTATAAAAAACCTCTATATTAACAATATATTTTAATATTTTAATATCATATTTCAATAAAGCAATGTAGTAAATTTTAAATCTATCTATAAGACTAATAAAACACATGTAAGCCGGGTATATATACGGTGTGTGTAAATATATATTGGTAACGAGTGCTGTCAACCGTCTGTATACAAGTGTATTGTCCCGTCTGGTAAAAAGTATATGTGACGTCATCAGTTCGGAATGTATGTTCCCGTGTTGTTGTCCTGTTACAACATTCTGGCTGAATTGTACTTACGACGTAGACATTGGACATGTCCCGTGCACGAATAAATCACCATATATTCCCGCCACTATATCTCGGCTACTGGGTAAATACTTACTGCCCGGTAGTCATTTTTACAATCCAACTCGTAAGAGAAGGATCTGTGCTCTGATGATTATATTTATTTATATGAGATACATTTGTATAGAGGCTTATAGAGACATTGCCGCCAGCATTGAACCATTCTAGGAACGTCATACCTGATATGTATTGCGGTATTTATGTAACAACTATCGTGTGATTGTATTTTTTTTTTTTTGAGTTAATATAATATTTAGCCGTCTGTATTCAGAGGTTCAATGCCTCGGTCGGCGCGGAAGTTGTTTAGTATTTATTGTATGTATATTTGTGGGTGAATGTATTTATTGTATTGTCCTGTATTGTAGGTTTTCAGATATAGTAAAGATGATGAAATTACTCAACTTGTCCATGTCTGATTAACTGAGCAACCGGTGACATAAGCTAAGGTCAACTTATGATGAAATGAGACAATAACTCCTGTGAAATCATAGAATCAATAATAACTTTTTGATCTGTTACATGCACACCCGAGAACGGCAACCAAGTTATCACCACATAACCTGACTAACACAGAAAAGAAAACGATTCCTTATAGTTACAGTATTTGTATTGAATTTATCATTGATGTATTTGTCATCTATCCAATTTACATATGCTCACCTCAAAACCTTATAAAAACTAGAAAACTAATCCTTAAAAATCAAAACTGTATGTTCCACTTTCAGATATGTGTGAATTTTATTCAGACATGATCGGGAATTACATCAAGTTTTAATCCAACCTAAATTGGTGACCTTTTCCTTGGAGCGATGTTTCGTGATTATATAATGTACTTATTGTAATGTTTGTAGAAGAAAACTATATATGTTATGGGTAAACTAATTTTATGCCACACGTATATTTAGACAATAATAGCATTATATTTTACAATGTGCTGCTACTATAATTAAACTTAAGGTGTATTTACTTTCTTAACACAAAAACAAATATTTCGACTTACCCAATACAGTTTCTGCGGGTTGTGATATAACACATATTCACGTAGCCTTTGATTTTCCCATAGTCTGAAAAATAACCCTTCAGTTTATGCTATGTCTTAATGATCGACAGTTTGAAATGCTACATTCATAATGTACGGGTAATGCACATGCAGTAACGACTGTAATGTTGTTACTTTAGCAATAGAACCTCACAAGTGAATAAATAAAGTAATCACAACATACGTCACAATCGACCGTGCTTCAGAAGCAATTATCAGTCGCATTACGCTTGGTAATGAACAGACGGATTCAATACTAGTCAATAGACGGATCCATTACCGTTCTACATATTCATTATTTTCCCATAGTCTGGTTCAATATCAATAAGATTTATTTTGTAAAGTAAGAACATTTGTGTAAGATGGTAACTTTATGTATGATTGGTTCACTCAGAGTCAATCATTACAAACTTGTGTTTGCATAGTATGTAAGTTGGCTCTTGCGTAATCGATAGTAATGTCCCTGCTCCAGGACAGCACCCACCTGTTGACCATCTGTTACCTATTTATAATTATCATGTGTTGATGGGATGACCACACTCGTGTTACTAAGGGATAGCCCATGATCGGCTTGTTAGGTCATCATGCCCTATGGTCAAGCTTGACCAATCAGCATAGCGTGTACACGTGATAAGCTGATGTGGTCATCATGCCCTATGGTCAAGGGACCTAGCTTGACCAATCAGCGATGAGCGCACCTCTAAGATAGTCTGTCTGCTTCCCCTCTCCATCACTTCGAAAAAAATATTTTCTGATGCGGAGTTCCACACATTTTAGGAATAATAATCTGTGCTTGGGATATTGTCTACTTTAAATACCCATTACTGTGTTGCCTTATCCTGTGACATGTAGGTTACTGAAGTATCCGGACAACTCGTTTTCTCCATTGTGGATACAATTTCGTGGAGTCAAAGAGTCTTCTAGCAGCGTTTTTGCATTGCGATCGGGGGCTATCGAAGACAGCGTCTTTTTGTTACAATTTAAAAGATGGGTTCATTATCTATGTACAGAGAGGAACATTACCAGTGAATAGACGGACTTATAACAAGCGAACAAACGGATTTATAACAATGAACAGACAGGCTCATTACCAATCAACAGACGATTTTATTTCATTACCAATGAATGGCGGGTTTGTTTCCTTACACCGAACATACGGATTCATTACCAATGTAAAGATGTATTCATTATCACTGTAAAGAGTGACTAATTACCAAAGTACAGACGGGTCCATAACTATAAAGCAGGCGTCTTCATTACATATAAATAGACGGAGACAGATGTACTTACCGTCCATCAAACGTTCTCATGTGGGGGTCATTATTGCTATAGCATTGATTATTCAGAACGATGGAATCTGCATCTTGTACCACAACCTAAAACACATGTAAGGTATAAAGACATATATGAACAAGCATAGATATGAAATGGTTAAAAAGAAAATTTATTATTGCAACGCTAAGTAAGAAAAAGACTGCGAGTCTAGGCAATCTTTATTTTTTTCCCCGAGCAAAAGTAACACAGTACATATTTCATAGGTTTCCAAACTAAATACTGATTATTTGATGTAAAATGCAATACTCCAATGACGGAAAACTTGAATGGCCATTCGATTTCTAACTTAAGCGCCATATTCATATAGCGTACGCACAGGACTATAACACCAATATACTAGCTGAACTTTTATCGGTCATTTAGTATTGAATATTAAATGTTTCGTTTAATTGTTGGTAGTGTTGGAAACCAATAACATGAAAATAATAATACACACATTGCTTCCGCTATTAACTGTCAGTTTGAATTGTTTGAATTTCTTGCAATTGATCATGGCTGACAGAAGTTCAGAGGGGTCAGGCTATTGCATTGCTAACGCAAGATAAATAGGCAACAACAGATTGATATGCAGTTTCGTGTGAATTTTTCCACTAAAGAACGTCTAGCCCACCTACGTAATCGCCACGTTTTTGCAACTGAAACCGCTATTAATAAGGTACGCAATCATAATCGCCATATTCAGCCCAAAACTGTAAGGTACCGAATGTGCGAGCTTGGTCCGCGAGTTCGTTGTCCTTATGTGGGACGAACTTAACGGGAGCGTAAAAAAGTGGAACAATATCCCCGTGAAAAGGATATAATAATGCAATGATGATCTCCATGCAAAAGATAATCAGGGTTGTGGCAGATGCACGAGGGGAATATACGAGATACTGACGAGTCAGTCGATGTCACTTTGCGATATTGGGGGGTACCGTCAAATGTGCTTCAATACCTCATGGATTTGTGGTCGACATCTAATGAAATGCTTGGCAATTTGTTTATTAAATACTTTTTTTTATACAATGTACTTATATAAACATATCGTATATACGCATATGTGGCGTTCAAAACTTACCAATATGTCTGGTTTTGAAGCACTTTCCCAAGCCGGGTGATACAAGACACTGTCGAAAACCTTTAAACGTATATATGAAGAACGACTTCCCACATTCACTGAGTTGTCTGACGCACCGTATACCTTCAGGGACTTTGTGGTAGCCCAATCGTTAGGAGATATGAGAACACCGCAGTTATTATCACCAAAAGTTACTGGTTCGTTGCTAACACCTCCTGAGGAGCATTGGACAGTGTCTGTCTGATCTGGCGTCTGGATGCGCATTTCTGTTCTACAATGATTTCCCGCATGAGCATGCCATCTGCAAAAGGTATCGTATAACAAGTCTTCAATAGGATAGGTCAAGGTCATTTCATGTTGTCAATCATTTTACGAAACAAAGTTATTTTATTTACTTTTATACATGAAAAACTATCACATTTTTCTGTTTTCATGGACGTGTGTAAGTTAAAAAAACCCACCACCCCTGCCGACAAAATTCCTCGGCAATTTGTAACTGCCACATAGATATTATTCAGCCGGTAAGATCAGAGGCGGGTGAAGTTTACACTAACTTAGCCCCTCCTAGGTCGATCAGTAGACAGGGGCATACAATGTAGACAAAATCGAATGAAAATTGCAGCTTGAATACTGTTTCTCTTTGTTTTAAGTTGGCTTTTCATATCGGTGTGAGGAAACGGATAAATAATTTGATTTTGAGATCAAGCATTTGGCTGGAAAATAAACCTATTGTCAGGGAAACAGAAAGCTATATCCCTAAACTATATGTGCTGGAGGCATATTGGTGTTCTGTAACTACCCCCCTCCCCCATCTCCCCCCGAACACACACAAATCAGAGGCATGACATAAATAAATAAATACATAAATATGTATGCATATGTTTTTTAGAGTCGAACATGCTTACTGATCTCTAGTCAAAGTGAGAGGATAAGCACATCCTAATGGGACAGTAAGTGTTACTAGGACGTCGATCGAGGAACCTTCCGCTACGGTATAGGAATTCTGATCCGTCTGTAAGAAAACAAAGGCAGTTAAGAAGTCCAAGAACTAATATATCAAGGTCGTTAAGATATAATCAAATGAAAAATTACGAAAAAAGAAATACAATTGCTTTCAAAACAAAGACATGGGTTCTTTATCCTCTGTTAAATAGGAAACGTTCGTCCATACATCTTTTATAAGTTTGTGTACTACTTTAAACCGCATTTAGACATTAAAGGGACATCACGCTGAAGTAACCTTTTTTTTTGTCTTTTTTCCAAATACTACATAAACATATCAAGTGAGACTCCTTATGGCAAATAACGATCGGATTTGGCTGAAATAGATTCATAAAAATGATTAAATCTAAGATAATCATCGGCATTTCTATCTGTCTGACCCAACGTTTTGTTCAATAATTTCCCTCTACTAGCGCATGCGCACTACACCATTTCTTTGTAAACAAAATGACTGGCCGTGTGAAGTAAACCAAAGAAAAGTGTTGTACCGTGTCAGCTACGAAGCGAAAAGTTGCCAAATGGTCAAAAGATAGCGCAATGACTACGTTACGGAATCATTATTACAGGTGGGAAGTATTCAAAGGAGAAAATAACTGCACTAGCAGTTAGTACGGTGCATGTTTTCTTCCGGATAGCCGGTTTAGCTGAAATGGAATCGACAGAAATACTAGCGCTGTTTATGTTATGAATAAATATCTAAAACTATTAACCTCGCTAGAACTTTGTCTGAGTTTGAACACGGATAAACTTAGTTTAATATGTCAATGGGCATGTATCGGAGAGAGTTTACTTTATGTTTCTATAATACAGTGGTTTATGCGAAAGGAAGGGATAAGTGACTGGTTAGTTTGATTTTGTCATGAGGCCCTCCAAGGGTCAACTATTGTGATAGCCACGGCGTATTCTTTCTCTGTCGGTTCTCGTGATTAGGGTCAAATGAGATACGTGCGCTTTTAGATTTAAATAATTTATAATATTACGGGTTCAGTAAAATGGTATGATTTAATTATATTGCTGAATTAAACGATTTTTTGTTTGTTTTTACATACAAATTTAGATTAGAACTAATATGAATACCCGGCTTCCTCTGGCGCGACGACGCAATATATAAAAAAATCTCTCGTCGTCAGAAAGCTACATTATCGCAGCTAGATTAAAAATGTCAAAATGACGGGGCAGGATGAATAACTGAGGAAGGAGAACCTACTTCTAGTAAATAGGATCACGTAACATTTTCTTTTAAATCGTAATATTTCAACAGTTCATGTTTTGATATGTTGTTGACTTAGAATGTATGATCATGTTACAACCTTTTATCTATAAAGAACTAATTTTCGACTTCAGATAGAATCGGAATACGTATTGAAAACATTGAAAACGTTGCAACAATGACGCGTGCTGCCGATAACTACGGTTTCTGTTTCGGACAAAAATGAAATGATTAAAGAAAAGTTGGCTCAATATAAAAAAGGGTCCATATATGCACTTTATGAAAACATTTGAAAAGGGATATTAGTCTCGTGAAAATTCCTTTTTACAGAAAGGTTTGTCCCATGGTTGAAGAAAGGTGTTTAGTCCCGTACAGATGTCACATTCTGGTACTAAATTCAATATATATTTATATATATATACTTTATGTTTATGCCTATTGTCATTGTTGACATTTAATTATAAATGTATGACGGGAGAAGGCTTTGATAAATTGTAAAAACGTGTGCCCCATCCCTTGTTCAATTTTATTGGGAACACATATGTTTAAAGCTAAATAAATTTAAATTCTGAAAATTGGCAAGTGTGCAATTAACTTCTGATGATGAATAACTACTGTTCAATAAGTTTTAATACGGACTTAGAAATCATATTACTTGGTTTCATAGTGCGGTAAGAAGTTGCAGTTGCCTGACGCCCCTCTCTTGGGACGCCTTGGGAAACCGTTTCATCTCGCCCAATCCGCTCGTGTTTACTGCCTTGTCAGGTGACGTTATCGGGGCTATTTTTAGCAAGGCTTTCCCGAACAATTCAAGTGGTCAAACTGGACATTTGGAACGGACTATGAATATGGGGATAGCGAGGGAACATAAGTGGAAGTGCATACAATACATACATTCATTAAAAAAATATGGCTCTTCACGTGATGTCCCTTTAAACGTTCGTTTCTATTTCAAATATACTTTTATACTGAATGTTTAAGTAGGAACTTTCCTGAATACATTAAACCATGGTGTATGGCATCTTTTGATACAAATTTTTGATTACTTTTCGTTCTTGAGAACAAATTTGCGTTTTCATTGTAACCACAAAACACCAGAAGGTAAAAGTTCAGCAAAATATTCACACTGAGGATATTCAAGTTCATCAGAAATACCTTAAGTTTATCATATATGGTAATCTTAATATACATACCGTAAAGCCAGCTTTAAAGGACTCACTTGACCTAAATGGGCCAATGGAACTCTCGTTAAGACCACGCAGACGAACTTCACATCTTACCTGAAAAAAACACCAACAGTGACAAAATGGCGCAGATATACAAAACTGCGTCTGTCAGTCTCATGCACTATACAAACATATAACAGACCAATAAAATGAACCATATTTCTAAATATTTTCTTCGGGTAGGAAAGTAGAGATGGGAAGGTATACATATGCATACAGGTTCATATTGTACAACCAACGAAACGTGTCCGTGAGACGTTTTTGATTTCTAATACATCATGATAACTGACCGGTAAAGCATATGAGCAAAATGTGTACGAGTCGACAACAATTAAATCTCTGTTGATTTGGCTACATTATGAGCGTATGCACACTTAGTTGTTATTAATTTTCGCAATGAAGCTAAATCGATTCAGCGGCAATTTGTTAAACACCTGTTTATAGATGTGCGAGAGTCTATGAACCCCCTCATCTCGATTCAACTCTAATTTCCATAGACAGAGAATAAATGTATTCAAGTGGAAGCCATCTGGAAACGCCACAGCAAGCAAGTTCTGAATTAGCTTGCCAAATACATACCAACAAGACCGACAAGAGTAACACAAACGCTAAACACTTCCACTGACGTCAATGTGGATGCCATGTAATATGTAGCTATAATGTAAAAGTTATTGAAGGTGAGCTAGCAAGTGTAAATACAAACAAACTATTTAAGCTATTGTGTTAGTTAAATAACATATTATTTATCACAATTAATACGGAGGCGTAGATGAACATTGCTTCCGAGAAATGACATTTCAGCAGCGTTACAGAATGTACCATGTAAACATTACATCTGGGAGAAGACGTTTATCACGATTATCATATAAACTTTACTTCCGGGAGAAGTCATTTAATCATGGTCACCATGTAAATATTAATTCTGAGGCAGGACACTTTATCGCTGTTTCCACGTAAACATCACTTCCGGGGGAAGTTCTTTTATCACGGTTACCATGTGAACACTACTTCCGAAAGGAGACATTCTATCAGAGGGTGAAATCAGCAGGTAATCTAATTCTCTGGACGCTGCAGCTCTATTTGATTTTTTGAACAGATTTATACTATGGGTAAGCACTGTTAAATGAATCACTCAGAAAATAAAACGGTCTGATAATACCCAAACCATCGCACCAAATACACATTCATATTATTTTGGTTATGATTATGTCAAAACGAGGCGTGATCAAAGTAAGCTTTGCCGGATAAAAAGGTGAACGTACTATTTCAAAGCCAGTAGAAAGTATGGTGACTGCTATCTATTATCAACATTATTCTGTCGAAACGGCACATGAATGAAAATATATACCAACATTACTCCCATTAAGAATAGCTACACTCGCCACAATATACTCAGTGAAAAGTATTTAGGACTTTACTTACGAGGAAATTCAGTTTGTATGTACCTCTCCAGCATTCCTCCAGCAAACGAGTGGTCGACAGGTTCGTGTATGCTACCAGTGCATGGGAACAATTCGTCAAGAGGTTATCATTGATGTACCAGTTGATGTCGTATAAATACTGCTCAGCGGTTTCGTTGTCATAATTGAAAGTTATATTGTGTTCAAATTTTATTTCCGTGTTTACTGCGTTGACACTAGGCAAGGTTAGAATTGGTCCTATTCTCTCTTCCAGTCCAGGCGTTATCGTAACGGTGTATGGAATGTCTACAAAACCTAAAAAATACAATAACGATCCTTTAATATTTATCTTTTTTATCATTATTCACGCATTAAACAGTCATCTTATCACATGAAAAAGTGTAATATTTGCGGCCTTTTACACGGTATCAAATATTGACTTTATATTAGATAGACTTGCTGTTACTCTCGAGATGTTGTCTCAGAAGTAGACAAAGATCAGTTCTATCCAAGATCGGGTCAATAAATGTTCAATGCCATAAAACAAATATCAAAATACACTTTGTTAATAAAATGATGATGTGTGCCAATATGTACGAAAGTATGAATTGGTAAGTAGTACTATGACGTGATATGTAAAGCAATTTAATGATGCAGAACGGATTAATCATAATCCATTTCGATAAAGGATATGATTCCAAATTGACAACACATAAAATGCCGCCATTGGAATGTTCTTTGTGTCATCAGAAAACATCCAGCTGCCACGTATATCCAGCTGCCACGTTTATCGAATGGTTTTCTGCAATGTACAAGTATCACCTAATAATTAAACATGTGTGACAACATTGTTAATTTATTTCACTAGGTCTCACCTCATCAAAATTCTGACAATATGTAATATACAATAATATACAAAATCATGCATAGACGATCTTTTCTTAAAGCAAGTCGAATTGGAAATTATAAATATATTAAAGACAAAGCTATTAAGCATCAAATTAAAACATATAATACTGTATATTCTAACGACCGCAATCTAAAAACAAACAAAAAATATCATCCTTTCCCAAAGAAAAACTCACAAATTAAGATCGAATTGTATCTCCCATCCTCTCCTAGAAAACAGAGTCTTATATATTTAACAAAATATATCCAAATAACGAAAATAACCTCCAATATTGAACAACATATTCCATTAACTCTCTAGCGAAAATAACCTCCAATATTAAACAAAATGTATCCCTCACCCTCAAGCTAAATTACCTTCCCTTACCAAAAAACATATCCTGCACTATCGATAAAACCTACAATATTAATCCAAATATAACCCTCGCCCTCTTGCAAAAATAACTTCACACTTAAAACAAAATGCATCCTTCACAATATCAAACAAAACATATCCTTCACTTTCTACCGACAACAACCCCCATACGATACAATATACATCGCTCACTCTCCAGCAAAAACACTGTCCCGCACTAGATATTTATCCTATCCTCTATCTTATATTTAAACACCAATGTCGTTAAGAAGCGTCAATATTGAACAAAAGAAATATATTCCCGAACCCTTTTCCGAAAAGAACAAAAAATGTATAAAGAAATACAAACACAGAAGAAACGATAAAAATCTCATTTCCTTACCTTATACTTTTGCCCACTCCATAGCAATACCCCAGTCAGCCCCATTAATCCTTGAAGTTAACGTTTAAAAAAGTTAGTGTTTCATAAACATTGCAGTGCTATACCAGTGTTATAGTGAAACATAGCATTATTTAAACTTGATAAATTGACGTGTTTCACGTAGAACGATCACTACACCCTCCGCTACATGAATACTCTCAACACGTGTTCAAAAACTTGTTAAAGCAAAGCAGCTACCACTTGAAATATTGACCCTGTTCTCGGAACAATTAACTATCCGCAGTATTATATCAGCTTTCAGAACAAACAAATGCACCCTATGTTGCATATAATGTTACGGAAATATTAGGTTGTTTCGACGTTACACCTTTTTATAATAATACGAACGTTTTATGTTTTAACATTGCAACTATTATTACATATATGATATTTTTGGTCGCCTGTTGAGTACAAGACATATAAGTCAGGGTGTGGATTAATCTTGAACATGTAAAACAGATACCGCATTTTAATTCACAGCATGTATTACACAGAAAGTTTTGCAAATTTCAGATATTGGTTGAGCACATATTCAAGTTACAGGTGCTCAATTGGAGTGATCACCTCAAATCTTAACTACAAAAAAAATGGTTATTTTTTAAAGAAAGCAAGAGGAAAGAATTAAAAAAATCATGGATGCAAAAAGCAATGAAAATAAACATTTAAGAATGGAGAATGCACAGTAGTAACAAATGTACAATGAAATACGCGATTAAGGATGAAGAATTTAGTGCGACGCATGTAGCATTTAGAACGAAACGTATGTAAATGATTTCGTGAAGAATGAAGAGTAAATAATTGATGACGTTCCATACATTATACATTAGATACACAATTAATGAAAAGTAAAACTAGATTATAGTAAAATATGTAATTCAATGCAAAAGGAACCATTCGATTGTAATTAATTTTTTAACGCAATATATAATCCTGTTTTTTTTTCTTTCTCATTACCCGATTTTTTAATATGAAATTAATTATGCATCCTGATAAAAGTAGCAGCGGCTTAATTTAGAAAAAACGTGGCCCTCTTATTAAAAAAACCCGACTGATATCAAATAAAATGTATTTATCACATAATTCACTGTGTTATCCAGTGCATTTACCAATGCCAAATATTTTTTGCGTATTTACCCATGTAATATGACCTATAAGCCGTGTGATTGGTAGTAAATATCATTTGTTTCAATTGTGACGTCTAGGACAAGTTCATGACGTCACATACTTACGCATTGGAGTCAAAATGCCGGCTTTTTACATTTCAAAGTTGCATACAAATTGTCGTTTTACACAAATGAATGCCACACATCTTGATTATGTGATAAAAAGGATCGTATACTCGTTTTCATTACATATGAAAATGATGAAACTCGTCACGAACTTTTCAATTTAGCTCGCCAAAGGCTTAATCGAAGAATTCTTTGACTCGTTTTATAAATCTGGAAACTCATGTAAGATCCTATATATAATGTATGGAAATTATCACAGATGTTAATATTTTGACAAATAAATTATTATACAATGTACATATTCGTCCATCAAAGTATAGGTCAATGTGTTTATTTACAGGTGCTGTGGCGAATCGACGCAAACAACCGTTGTTTAATTCGAAATTATAATATTTATTTGATATAATGTTAATTAATAATTTCAAAAACATTCTTTATGTAAAAGTGTACCTACTGATACAGCCTGGCGTGAATCCTGTTTCCGATGATTTACCATCTGGACACTTTGTTTCAGTTCCTTAAAATTAAAAGATAAATTGAATCAAACAGATGTGTTGTAGGATTTGCTTTTAACATAAAAATTCAATAAACGATAAAAAAATGTATTTAAGTAATATAACATTTATTATTATTATTTTATAACTTGATTGATTCCGACAAAATAGCCACGGTATTCCAGTTTTTTGAAAGATTGCTAAGTTGCTGCAAGTCAGCCATCATCTCAGTCTTAACACATTCACCCCTTGACATATGAATTGGACTTGTCCAATCTTTGATTTGGTAAGGTTAACATGTGAATTTAGGGTGAATAGGTTGAATTTACTTACCAAAGCAATATCCATTGTCTCCTGGGGTTCTCTTCAGATCGTAGACGTAAAAGGAACCGCAGTTTTTTACTCGGACTGTTGACCATGTAGGGAAACAAGGTGAGAATACGCCAACAGCACACATCGTCACTGATTTAGTCTCTCCGTTAGTTGGCAAAGCTACAAATGAATCAAAACGACTTTTATTTAAACATATTAACCGTCTTACGATGAAGTTAAATAAAAAAATAAAAAGAGTTTTGGTTCCTGACGTTGTCTTTTTCTGGACGTAGAGTTTTGACATTGTCCGTATATCTACTCTAACTCTCTTCATTTCCTATTTTACCCTTTAACTCTTTTTATACAAATATGTACTAATGTTTTGTGTAAGAGCATGTCACACGCCGATACAACAATAGATAAATATACCTCATTTTGTTGTTGGAATGTTAGGTCATTAACTCATTCACCCCTGAAGACACATTTGAACTCCAATTCAATAGTTGAAATAGTTCATGATGAAATTTCAGGGGGAAATGGTCGAAGGAAATGACAAAGAGTACAAATGTGTTTCAGAGCAAACACTGTTAAAATCTTAGTGCATGCTGACAATTTTCGCAAGTTATTCTAAACTATGTGTTTAATTGTAATGCTTAGTTTCATTGCACACAGATAAAAAAGATAAAAAAAAACCATATGTTTAGCTTTTAGATGTAAGAAGACAAAAATATCCTTGAAAGTACTATATGCATAAAAGGTATGGATTACCTCCCCTTATACATAACCGGTATAGCCAAGTACCACAGGAGGATATCTGATCAGAGGTCTGATTAATAAAGTTAGAACATTTACAACTCTGGAGACTCTAGAAACCAGATTGTTTTATGTACCGGAAGCCTTCGGAGCAATTAATTCTGGATTGTAACTTTTTTATTGTTTGTATGCATAGAAGAGGCAAACAATATATTGACATTTATAAATACCTCGCTCTTTAACAAGGAACAATAAACCAGAACAAAACATGCAAGAAAGGCTTTATTTTTTACTTAATGCGTTTATCTATGCACTCATAATTGTTTGTTTTTTTGTCAAAGTGTGAGCAAGTTAACATTAAAAAGGAAAAATAAGAAACACAGGAAAAAATTCACGATTCAGTTTCTTCTGAAAACTTGTTAAATGGCTCAGTTAAAACATTCACCCAAAATTGGATAACTAACTATAAGTCTATTCCTACTTTGAATTGAAGAGTTTAAAAGTGCCTGTAAGGGTAAATAGGTTAATTCAGGACAAAAAAATAAGATAAAATCACATTACGACTATAGCAGAAAATAGATTTAGATATTTCTACAGATATCTAATTGAACATAACAATTTCAATCCGCCTCAACAAACCACTTAACTTTTATAGCGCTTGTTATGACAGTATTCATTTCGGAGGATTTAAGGCTGAGTCGCCTTGATCAGTTGATGTTGAAGGTCACGGGCGGAATGACAGGATGGTCCATTTAAAGAGTATTTATGCAACAATGTTAACATTATAGGCGTCAGGTGTTCCTTGTTTAAATAAATGCATTTTCAAAAGTATATTACATTCTTTATATCGGGAACTTCCTTGTTGGGAATTTATCATCCCGGTTGAAAAGTAGGACACTGTAATGTTAACTGAATAATATCAGCTGTTTTAGAATAATCACAGCGATGTAGATGGTATTGAATATCCACAATGGATTTGTTGAATTTCTTAATTATAAATTATCAAATTTGTTTTGATATACTCCAATATTTCCATTTCAAAACGGAATTACACAAACCTATATGTTGCTTGTTATCCCCATATGTTGAATACTAGAGGAGATTGTAAACGCGCAAGCTATTTAAAAGAAGTCACTGAATAAATTACTGTAGTTTTCATTATTCTCTAGACTTGACTTTCATAACTTTACAGCAATTGTAAGTTTTTTTCGTTTATAATGGAAATGTCCCGGTCTCCAAACTAACAGCAATGTTTCAGATGTAAAGTGATAAGCGATATAACTCGATCTGTCCCGTAGTAAACACGTGTTTACATCCCTCCCTCTATGACAAGACTAACAGTGGTATGCCGTTGTCTGGCTTGCTGTCTGGCTATTCTGTTTCATCAGACTCACTATACTGTTTTATGTCATGAAGGAGGAGTTTCGTTAACTTCTGTCCAATGTATACGGAGTAATAAGCCTTTATTGATTTGCGTTAACAAGGTTTGTCCATAACTTAGTTTCACCTACACTCACAATACATGCTCTACTATTCTATGCTTCCTAGGAAGATATTATGTCTCATAAACTAGAATTGGCAATGCAGCCTCAATGCTCCTATTTAAATTTCGATTGTAAGTATATCACCTAAATATACAATAATTCTTATACTTCTATATCGTGAAATGACATAGCATCGCACACTGAAGTTTGGTCTCGCACCTTCTTATATATTGACGGTATAGGCTTAAAGCATTATTGGCGTGCTATTAACACTTTGTTTACAGAACAGAATTGTTGACGTCATAAATTTCTTTTGACTTGGGAATCCCCCTGTCTCAAACCAAGGTTGAGAATCTTTCCCAACCTTGGGAGAAAGGCGAAAAATTCTAAACACGAGGGGTAAAATTCTTAAATATCTAGCCCGAAGCTTAACCTTGGGTTAGGCTTTTAGGAATCTTTCCCCGAGAGTAACCATTTTTCTGTAAGCTCTTAAAATGAGTAATGATGATCTTTTCCCATTTGAATTGCAAGTGTGGATATCATGATAAGCAAAGGTTGACTGCCGCGTTTAGATTCAAACAGATCGGAGTCAACTTCCGTGATCTGCTATTGTTGTTGTGACGTTAATGTATTGTTGACGGCACGTCTTGTAATTGTTATGCAGGGGGAATCGCCCATTTTTACTTCGGGTTAAGCCAGAGATATCAATCACTGACCTGAAGTGTGGATATCTCTTTCTCCCCAACAGATAAATATATCCATACTTCCGGCAAACTCGTCTTTCTAGCAGATCACGGAAGATAACTCGGACTTGCTGGAAATTATGAAATAAAAAAAACAACGTTTTCTCCACTTGAGGATTAAGCCAGACAATCTCAACTCAAGATTCTAAAAAACATGTCTTGTTCTCGGCAAAGCCTCAGGCTAGACATTTAGGAATCTGATTGTTTGAGTTTAGATTTATGTGCCTTACTCCCAAGATGGGAATATATTATCAGTCTTATTTGGGGGAAAATGATATCTAAAACACGGGGATACATCTGCCCATGGTAAGAGCTAGTTTGATCTTTCATGGCTTTCCATTATGGAAAAAAACATCTTACATTGTCGGCTATGTGAGGAATAGTTTTCTATCACATATAATACTTAATATCGAATGACATGAAATGATTGTAGGGGATTGTATTTACTTTTGGCGTTTCGTTATGTACACTTCCGGCAAACTCGTCTTTCTAGCAAATCACGGAAGATAACTCCGACTTGCTGGAAATTATGAAATAAAAAAACCGTTTTCTCCACTTGAGGATTAAGCCAGACAATCTCAACTCAAGATTCTAAAAAAATGTCTTGTTCTCGGCAAAGCCTCGGGCTAGACATTTAGGAATCTGATTGTTTGAGTTAAGATTTATGTGCCTTACTCCCAAGATGGGAATATGTTATCAGTCTTATTTGGGGGAAAATGATATCTAAAACACGGGGATACATCTGCCCATGGTAAGAGCAAGTTTTATCTTTCATGGCTTTCCATTATGGAAAAAAACATCTTACATTGTCGGCTATGTGAGGAATAGTTTTCTATCACATATAATACTTAATATCGAATGACATGAAATGATTGTAGGGGATTGTATTTACTTTTGGCGTTTCGTTATGTACGTTATTAGAGTGAGAATAAGAATATTAACTTCGATAGGTCTAATAGCAAAACAAATCGTCTTTATAATTAACATGACGACGGTGAAAATAACCAGACAATGAGGTGTATATGAAATAGCTTACAACTTCCTTGTTCAAAAATAGATAGCATGTTATTAACTGAAATAAGATCTGATAATGGCCTCCAGCTTTAACGGAATTCCATACATATACGGGCGGGACCTACTTTCATCGTCTGTTAAAAAATGGCGATGGCGTCGTGACGATTACACTTATTTATTTCAAGACTTTCTAGTGATATTTGAGGGAAGAAAAATGATTTGAAATACAGATAGCAACCAACTGTTTGTCTAACACGGCCGGAAATGATAGGCCGGTGACACTGAACAAGATTAAAACTGTAGTTTGAAGTTTGAGTTTTTGTGTGCTTTGATCATGCGTATTGACACCGTGTTATTGTTTGCCCTTTTTGACATCGTGTTAAATTTCATTCTGTTGAAATTATACCGTTATGTTATGTAAGTGACTTTAGTCACTGTGGTATATTGTGTCCATATGTACATTTATAAGCTTTATTAGGAATGTTTATGAGACAACCAACGCTGCGTTAAATTTTTAACTCGTTGATTCCGGCTGTGTTATATGTTGTATTTACACTGTACATATTTTACTTTGTCCAATAACACTGTGCGAAATTATCCTTCTGTATCAATGGTGTAGAGTTTGTTGGTATTGTTTTCCAAATCAATTTACAAAAAAATGCATTCTGAACGACCCACTCATTGTTCATAACAGATATAAATGATCCTTTAATATACCTCACATAAAGGAAACAACTGATAATGCAAGCATATATATAACGACAGCGAATGGGTATGGGTCATTGTCATTCAGTACACACAGGTTTGTGTTAAGGATATAACAAAGTATTGTCATTCAGTACAAATTGTCTTGCATTAACGATAAAACACACCATTGTCATTCCGTAAACACTGCCTTGTGTTAACGATATAACGCAGTATTGTCAATCAGTACACACTGTCTTGTGTTAACGATATAACACACAATAGTCATTCAGCACACACTGCCTTGCGTGAACGATATAACACACAATAGTCGTTCAGTACACTGTTTTGTGTTAACACACAATAGTCAATTAGTACACACTGTCTTGTGTTAACGATATAAAACACAATAGTCGTTAGTACACTGTCTTGTGGGGACGATATAAAACACAAAAATCGTTAGTACACTGTCTTGTGTTAACGATATAAAACACAATAGTCGTTCAGTACACTGTCTTGTGTTAACGATAAAAAACACCGTTGTAATTCAGTACCAATTTTCTTGTGTTAATGATATAAAACACTATTGTCATTCAGTACACACTGTCTTGTGTTAACGATATAATACGTCATTTTTATTCAGTACACACTATCTTCTGTTATCGATATAGCACGTCATTGTCATTCGCTACACACAGTCTTGTGTTAACGATGTAACACACAATTTTCATTCAGTACACACTAAAGTGTGTTAACGAAGTAAAACACTATTGTCATTCAGTTCACACTGTCTTGTTTTAACGATATAAAACATCATTGCCACTCAGTACACACTGGCTTGTGCTAACGATATAAAACACCATTGTCATTCATTTCACACTGTCATGTATTTACGATATAAAACATCATTGCCACTCAATACACACTGTCTTGTTTTAACGATATAAAACATCATTGCCTCTCAGTACACACTGGCTTGTGCTAACGATATAAAACATCATTGCCACTCAGTACACACTGGCTTGTGCTAACGATATAAAACACCATTGTCATTCATTTCACACTGTCATGTATTTACGATATAAAACATCATTGCCACTCAGTACACACTGTCTTGTTTTAACGATATAAAACATCATTGTCACTCAGTACACACTGGCTTGTGCTAACGATATAAAACACCATTGTCATTCAGTACGAATTATCTTGTGATAACGATATCAAACACCATGTCATTTAGAGCGCACTATCCTGTGTTACCGATATAACACGTCATTGCCATTCAGTACACACTGCCTTGTGTTAACGATATAGCATACAATTGTCAGTCAATACATACTGTCTTTGATAAGCTTATAAGCTAATTCCTGTTGTAACGTCATTGTTAATCAGTACATACTGTCATGCATTAACATTATAAAATGTCATCGGACATTGGTATCAAAGTTTTACTTTCTTTACAAACAATGTACGTATTAAACTTGCTGCAACGTTTTACCACCGACGGGTCCATTTGTAAAGGTATGATTGGGTGAGCTATTTGTATTTTATAACTGTACAACGATGTGACGAAATTGTATATTTTTATGTCACCTGACCCGGGACTTTTCGCCTATCGATAGAGAGCGTATACACAATGCATTAGAAAGGTTACAGGTAGGGTGTATATCTAACCCCTCCCCTGTTATGCCAGTATCGGGTCATACAAATGGCTCAGACAGTGTCCCCCTCGTCTCTGTTTATGTTTTGAGTTTTACTGATTTTGATTGCTTCATTGATTTGTCACGTTTTTCTGTTATGGTCCCATTTAACTATCTTGGCATTGTCCCAATCGATGATGGGATTCTGGGTGTTAGCGTGATCTGTTAATGCCGATTTATTGTACTGGATGGCGAATGTTTATATAGGACAAACTGGAAGGAAATTTGGTACACGTCTGAATGAACATCAAAAGGACGTAGAGAAAATGAGCACAGTAGGCAACTAACATGGCGCTTTGAATATAATTTTTGTTTTATTCTTCAAGTTAAACTAGGCGTAAGTAGCTTTTTATCAATTGTTCAATATCCTTTTAACATTTCATGCATGCTCCATTTAAACGTGACACTTTAACCTGCATGTACTGTTCACATTCTGATCGTTGAAGTGATAATTGACAGCGACATAGCTTTGTCAATCAACAGAATGAAAGATAATAATAAACAGATTATTTCTTTGCTACTAGAATATTTTGGCCGAGAATTGAGGTATGTAACAAGTACTACCTTCGTTAGAACAAAGAAGAGCCTTTATCTTATTATATAATCTTATCACGTTTCGGTGACTGATCATATGGATTGATACATTCATGTGATTGACGTGTATGACACGAATGCTCAGTTGCGTCATACGTGTTAGAGTTACACAACTCAGAACAAATAGACACAAAAATGACACATTGTGTTTTTCTTCTTGTTTGATGTTCCGCTCTGTAACAATCTTCTCCTGATCGTCAGACTTTAAACTCAGAACAATTTATGTCACAGTGTTGAATACAGGATACATTTTCCTCAATAGTTAAAAGGTTTCTTGACGTAGTATTGAGGTTGAGAAAATGTTTCTAGTAATACATAAATAGGTGGAAAACAACTCAATGTGTTTTATCAAGAACATTACTTCATCGTAGGTGTTTTATATATTGTTACCTAAGATGAACCTAACACACACACCCACACACACCCACACACCCACCCACCCACACACTCACACACACACACAAACACACACACACACACACACGCACCCCCCTCACACCCACCCACCCACACCCACACCCACACCCACACACACACACACAGGTAATTGTACCTTTGACTGGTTTTAGAATAGATACAATTTGCGAATAATTAATGTATATCCTGCATCAGTAAGCCCACTTCTTTTTTAACAAACGTATACTATATTAAATCTAAAAATTAAAATCATGAACTTTTCTTGTGATACTAGTATTGCGCACTTAGTGTCACTTTACAAACAAACAGATATGACGTCTTTGACATTGCTGCTTTCTTAAACATGGAAAGCAAAATTTTTCAATATGATGCAAGTGAGTACGGAAGAGCATTAAGGCCATGAACTGTTTATACCTCGAAATTTCGTGCTATTAGCACGAAAAAAACGAATTTTAGTTATTTTTCTAAATGGCTCTAAAGCTCTTCCGTAGGTGAGGGCTACTATTACCTGTGTTGTATTGAATATGTAAATGATTGTTAATGTCTATATATAAAACGCTACTGAGTCATTTTTCTCCGTTAGTGTTATATATGTAGGAGAAGCTACACGGGTATTGTAACATTTATTCAAGTTTAGGAAGTTTTTATCAGTTAGATCACAATACAAAATGTATGTATAAATAAAATAAAATGTATGTATAAATAAAATAAATAAATATACAACATTTGATATAGCGCCCTATCTAGCCCTATCTAGCTAACATAAGCCACTACATACAATTGTATACAGTCAATGCAATTAGCATATATATTAATCAGCACAAATGAGGAATAACGTATAACGTCATGTTTCTTGAAAAGGAATTAAAGAAACACATTTTCACAGAGGTTTTCATATTGAAAATTCCAAAGGACATATATTTTTTGGTAATTTTAATTGTTCCAAATTATCTCCATATATCTACATGGAAATTAATCATTATCCTTTTTAAACACAAACACATATAGGGAGTTTTTGACAGATTACTAAAAGAACAGCTTAACCAATAAGAGCACTGTTGACTTGTGTTACTTACAATAAGAGCGTTGCTATTTTTAGATCACCTATATATATTCCCTATATAAACAGTGGCGAATGAAGATTTTGTACTCGTCTTCTGAAAGGACAAAAGGCTGTAATAGCGTACGTAGAAACGCCAAAATGAAGGATTTTACAAGTATTGGTAGCCTACACCACTAGGCATCATACCCTCATTTAAACGATATACGTGTTTGGAATAGTTATATTTGACATGTAAAGATCGCGATTGTTGAATTTCCAACTCACCCTTGTTAACTACATTGTACTAACACCTGTCCTAGAAACAGGGTATTTTCACGACGGGATATTTCAAATTTATCTTTTCTTGTCCTGTTTTAGAATCTTCCTCTCTATTCTCTAAAGAGATGTCCCAAATGGCTTAATTCGTGTTTAAGATAAAGTTAAGGATTCATAATTCATTACCAGCCGAAAGGTTTAAAAGGCAATCGGTATATAAAACTGTATGTTTGAATAAGAGGATGACTAAAGGTGATTGCATTGCATGCATATTAAATTGTACCCTATATATCCTAAAGGGCAACAGCATTAACAACCACAAAGGCAATTAATATATTAGCATCAAAGTAGCCATTTATTAGCGTTTTTCCTTGTTGTGTTCCCTATCGACCCATTTATCACTTCCTTCATTTTATCACAATATAAATGTAGGATACACTATAGATCGAAGGTGTTGATTGCAAGTTAAATCGTAAAAGGAGACTCTTATTTGAAATGACTTAAGTTTCTAATACATTGAAAATGCTGATTAAAATATAAACGACTTACTGTCATCCATCCAAACCGGATTTCGTGTTCCACATTTTCCGGAGTCTGGAGCTGTTTGAGGTATGGTCCCGCCAGCACCCTACACCGATCTATACCAGCCCTCACTTATTAGTAGATCATTTTCATAAACAGTCCCAGCGGAGATCGCGGTGGATCGCCAGGGATCGTCAAGTAACTCGTGGTTATGCACCAGGCAAGGGTCATCGTCTTGGCCTGAAATCATTCACAATGGATAAAACACATTAACCTTCAACTTTAATGAAAAGTTTCTTAATAAAATCTTTGTATCTGCTTATTTATATTTGATTTGAATTATTATATTAAGGTCTCTGAGGTTATTAGAATTGTCTAGGTCATATTAGAAAAGTAGAAATGTTACCGATATATAGGTGAATTCAGCTTTTATAATGTTTTATACTTTATATAAAAAACAACAAGCTTAAATAAATTCGTACGGTTTTTGATTCTGAATAAAAACAGAAAATAATTAAAAAACCGAATACGTCGTCTAGATTCTTCTATCAAAACAATGGTAGTCATTTAACCATTTTTACTGATACTCACCATCTACCATAGCAGTCAGTAGCCATAGCGCTAACCAACAGCGATAGTACATCTCTCTGGTCCTGATTTTAGTTGTTCTCCTACAGACTGTGTATTGCTTGAGGTGTATACTATCTGATCTCTGACGTAATAGTATGGGTTAACCATTATTTTCAAAACTTCCTGGTACAGTGTGTCAGGGCATACATGGTTCATGCTATTTTTAACTGGATAATTTTGTAATTAAACACGTTATAATAACTAGGACAATTTGGAATATAAATCGAAATCGCCCTCCTTAACAAAGTGATACAGCTGGATAAGTTTGGAATCATATTGGCAAGACTGAACATTATTAATCTAGATCGTGAAGCGGTCGTATTCCAGTAGTAGAGTATGGAAAGTGGGACACCCGTGTTAGTAGTTGCAGGATGATGGGTTGAACGTTTTAGTAGTGATGGATGGTTTGTTCGCCGTAGAAATAGTCGCTTGACAATGGGGCGACCAACAAATTGGAAATGTTTGAGACGTTATAAGCGGTGAGGCGACATTATAAGAAGTGAATAGGTACTGAGGCGACGTTATAAGTAGTGACTGGGTAGTTAGGCGACGTTTATTAGTAGTGGCTGGGTAGTAAGGCGACACCATACGTAGAGACTGTGTAGCAAGGCGACGTTATAAGTAGTGACTGTGTAGTAAGACGACATTATTAGTAGAGACTGTGTTTTATTAGTAGTGGCTGGGTAGAGACTGTGTAGTAAGGTGACACTATTAGTAGAGACTGTACGACATTATTAGTAGAGACTGTGTAGTAAGGCGACACTATTAGTAGAGACTGCGTAGTAAGGCGACACTATTAGTAGTGACTATGTAGTAAGGTGACACTATTAGTAGAGACTGTGTAGTAAGGCGACACTATTAGTAGAGACTGCGTAGTCAGGCGACACTATTAGTAGTGACTATGTAGTAAGGTGACACTATTAGAAGAGACTGTGTAGTAAGGCGACACTATTAGTAGAGACTGAGTAGTAAGGCGACACTATTAGTAGTGACTATGTAGTAAGGTGACACTATTAGTAGAGACTGTGTAGAAAGGCGACACTATTAGTAGAGACTGTGTAGTACGGCGTCACTATTAGTAGAGACTGTGTAGTAAGGCGACATTATTAGTAGAGACTGTGTAGTAAGGCGACGTTATAAGTAGAGACTGTGTAGTAAGGTGACACTATTAGTAGAGACTGTGTAGTACGGCGACACTATTAGTAGAAACTGTGTAGTAAGGCGACACTATTAGTAGAGACTGTGTAGTAAGGCGACACTATTGGTAGAGACTGTGTAGTAAGGCGACACTATTAGTAGAGACTGTGTAGCAAGGCGATACTATTAGTAGAGACTGTGTAGTAAGGCGACACTATTAGTAGAGACTGTGTAGTAAGGTGACACTATTAGTAGAGACTGTGTAGTAAGGTGATGCGATAAGTAGTGATTTTGTAGTTAGGTGACGTTATAAAAAGTTACTGTTTAGTTAGGCGACGTTATAAGAGGTTACTGGGTAATAAGGCGACGTTAGTAGTAGTGATTTTATAGTTACCGACGTTATAAGTAGATACTTGGTAATAAGGCAACGTATTGTTATTAGTAAGAGAGTTGACGTTATAACTAGTAACTGGGTAGTAAGGCGACGTTATCAGAAGTAAAAAGGTTAGGTAATACATAGTTTCTGGGTAGTCTACGACGATATAAGGAGTTTCTGGATAATTAGGCGACGCTATAAGCAGTGACTTTGTAGTAAGACACCGTTATAAGAAGTAACGATGTTGTTACGATAAAGGTAGTTACTGGGTAGTAAATCGACGTTATAAGTAATTACTGGGTAGTAAAACGACAATATAAGTAGTGACTGGGTAAATCGGGGACGTTATACAAAGTGACTTGGTGATAAGGCGACGTTATAAGTAATTACTTAGTATTAAGGCGATGTTGTAAGTAATTATTCGGTAGTAAGACGATGTTATAAGTAGTTATAAGGCGACGTAATAGTTAGTTACTTTGTACTTAGACGACATAATAAAAAGTTACTGGGTACTTAGTTGACGTTATACAAACTTACTGGGTAGTAAGACGACGTTATGCGTAGTAACAAGTAGTAAGACGACATTATAAGTAGTTACTGGGTACTTAGACGATGTTATAAGTAGTTACTGGGTACTTAGACGACATTATAAGTAGTTACTGGGTAGTAAGGCGATGTTATAAGTAGTTACTGGGTAGTAAGACGACATTATAAGTAGTTACTGGGTACTTAGACGATGTTATAAGTAGTTACTGGGTACTTAGACGACATTATAAGTAGTTACTGGGTAGTAAGACGACATTATAAGTAGTTACTGGGTACTTAGAGGACATTGTAAGTAGTTACTGGGTAGTAAGACGATGTTATAAGTAGTTACTGGGTAGTAAGACGATGTTATAAGTAGTTACTGGGTAGTAAGACGATGTTATAAGTTGTAATTAAGTGACGATATAAATAATGACTGGGTCGTAAGGCGATGCTATAAGAAGTGACTGGGTCGTTAGGCGACGTTATAAGAGAGTATGGGGTAGTTAATTGTAGTGACTGGATAGTAACGCGATGTTATAAAAGGTTGTTGGGCAGTAAATTGACGCTATAAGAAGTGACTTAGTAGTTAGGCGATGTTATAGTAGGTTATTTGGCAATTAATTGTAGTGACTGGGTGTAAGGCGACGCTTTAAAAAGTGACTGGGTAGTTAGGCGACGTTATAAGAGGTCTCAATTGAACCCAATATTGATTCCGATTAAGTCTTTTTGTGCCGGCGCTATGGTTTAATCCTTCTCTTATTAAAGGTATTGATTTCGTCTATATGTTTTGTTCAAAAGAAGCTAGTGTCGTGATATATCACAATACCGTTTTTGACACTGTTCCAAGTTATTTAAAGTTCCTTATAGAATCTATTTTGCTGTACTCCATATTCAATGTTTTGTCGATGTAAAGTCGGTGTACAATAATAATACAATGAACATACGTTATCCTGAAAATTTGATCTATTTAATATCATTATTCGCGATTTAAACAGCAGTTTATGAACACAGCATCACTGATCTTCGCTTATGCAAGTGCACCTGATGAAGTGTGACGCTGCGAATGTTGTATTGGAATTTTACTTTATTTATTTATGCATTTGTTTATATTTATTTATCTATTTTTCAACATACGATTTCGAGTTTTTTGTCTTTTTAGTTGATTTGTGAGGTTTTATTGTATTGTTAGAAATCTTCACTTGCTAAAGTGCACCTGAAGAGGTGATGACGCTGGATATACCCATGATATATGTTTTATTTGATTTCTGGTTACTTTTAAAATGTGTTTGTCCTTTGATAGAACACTAGGTCACTGTTGGATGGGAGACAATTCTTATAAACAGAACTCCCCGCCTGAGGTCGGAGCAAAGACGTTGCAGCAACCCATTGTCTATCGGAGGATCCATTACGTGTANTTTTTTTTTTTTTTTTTTTTTTTTTTTTTTTTTTTAAATTTTAGGTCCGTCCAATATCGAGACCGCTACATGTTCTTTGACGGACAACTTATTCTTATTATATCAACTTAAATTACCTCTTATTCTCCACGTTTTCCTACCTACCCCTGTCTTGCATCACATACTTATTTTTTTTTCTATAAAATCTATGGCAATGAGGTAGTTGATCAAATACTCGTATACAAGTTTCATATGTAATTTGGGTAGATTAAAAGATGATTTTAAACCAAAATTGATATTATCTAGTTGTTCGACTTGATCTTGTAAAACTGCCCTATGTCTATTATGGGTGTTACAATGAAATATTATGTGGTTTATGGTTTCAGGTTCACTAAAGTTTGGACAATCTGGGTCTACTTCCTTTTTTATGCGGTTAATGTTATATCCTAATTTGGTATATCCCAATCTTAGCCTGGTAAGGACAATATCTTCTGTTTTATTTTTTCCATATACGTATTTTTAACACTTTCGTCGATCGCTCTAAATCAAATAATTGTACGTTTTGACCAACTTTTTTTTACCAAATCAGTTGTGTTTTGGTGATGATAATACTGACAACTTCAGATATACTTTAGTCTACGTTTAGATGTATATCATCTGATCCTAAAGCGTCCTTTGCGAGTGTATCTACACTCTCATTTCCTGGTATGTCTACGTGCGATGGTATATGTATCTATTCGATATTTAGAATATATCCTAGCTGTATATTTTTGTGATCATTAATTGAGTGGCGCTGAGTAATTTTGGTCTACTGCTATTACCTGATGTAATTGACTGAAGCATGCTGAGCGAGTCCGAAATGACAACATATCGGTTGAATTTATTATATTGTTTTCGTTACGCCTATCAGTGCAGTTTAAATAGCCATTAGTTCTGCTGTGTATACTGATGTTCTGTCGCTTATACGCAGTGACTTGTTGATTTTGAAGGAGTTATTATAAATGCCTAACCATACTCGTCCATTAGCTGGAGTTTTTGAACCATCAGTATAAAATTGAGTAAATTTTGCAGATTTGTCAGCATTAAGTTTAAGAGTTATATGTTTGCTGTAATTGGGTCATTTTGTTTATCTATGTTTTTGAGTAAGTCGAGTGATACGTTGCATCTGTTTTAATTCATGGAACCTGGAATTCAGTTTTACGGTATATTTTAACATTACCCACACCGTATTTCTGTTAAGCCTATGCATTTCTGAAGAGTAAGGTACTTTCGTCCTAGTGAGGGGTGCTGAACGAGTTTTAAATGCATGATAAAAAGGATTTTGTCACCGTGGTGCTATGTTCTAGCCCAATACTTTAGCGTAAGATTTCCCTGCCGAAGAGTTAATAGAGGTTCACCTGCCTCTGCTTGTAGGCTATCTATATTAGTTATTCTTACTGGCTCGGCGGGCTACTCTTAGTGCTGTGTGCTGTTTTTTGTCTAGATGTTTTCATCCAGAGTCACAGGCGGTGCATTATATACCTTGGAACCATGGTCTATTGTATATGTAACTAGAGCTGTGTATAACATTAGTTATGTTGTCTATTGGCGCCAAATTTGCAACCTGTCATGTATCGAATTGTGTTTATCGCTTTCT